AGTGGTGGGTAGATCGAGGCTTCGTGAAACAGTTGAAGCAAATGTGCCATTTGTGTCGAGGCTTCGAAACGATCCGACACCCGTCTCAACGGTGACACCTAGTGGTCACTTGCAGGTGTTGATCTGAAATAACCTTGACAACGAGCCATTAAAAAATTAGTTTTTTTTTTTATTATTGTATTTTTCTAATATGTGAACCTGTAGGCTCCTCACTGTGCATAATGTTATTTTGGTCATGAAAAAATCATATTAATAAAATAAATCAAGCCACAATGTCTCACCTTTTTTATAGATTTTTATTCAAAAATCTTAATTTCTCTGCTGTCGAAGGACTTGGCCTACTTCTTTTTTTACAGAATTTCTCCAGCCTTTGAAAAAAATCCTCTCACAAGGGACACTTGTTGCTGGCATGAAAAGATATTTTTGATCCATAAATCTATTAGGAAAACCAAAATGATGTCTTGGCTGTAGATTGGGTACTCATATGTAGACCAATAAAATGTATATTCGCAAATTATTATATTATATTGACAACATTTTATATTATATTCACAGTTAAGCTGTTTTTAACATGATTGGCAGTTATGATTGGGACGTTAGGTTGTAGGGCTTAGGTTGACACAGGCCTATGGACTTTCTAAACAGTGTCCCAACAGTTTGTTATTATATTTCAATTATAATTATATTTCAAACAATGCACCTTGCTTAGATGGCCCAGCAGTGTCAGTAGCAGGCCTATGTACAGGGGGAATGCTATCCTCTGCAACCTGCAGGATGACTGCTCCTAAAATGGCGCATCATGGATGATGTATTGTTGCAGTAGGCTAGCTGCCCATCACAATATCTCACTTTATTTGGGGTTTCCAAATGGAAATGCTCCCACACCACAGATGTACTCTTCTCTTCTGTGGAGCCTCCATTTTTATCTATCTATCTATCTATCTATCTATCTATCTATCTATCTATCTATCTATCTATATATATATACATCTATTAATCTATCTGTCTATATTTCTATCTATGCATCTAATGTGTCACTATATGTATACTCTGTCTGTCTCTAGCCTATCAGTCAATGTGTAAATTTAAATGTAAGACTAAATATAACTAAACAAATCCTCTCACAAAAAACCCACGAGGTCAAGATGCGTTGACTTCACTTTTATACAGATGTGCGATTGTGTGGTCTGTTCACGATCCTGTCAATCAAACGCTGATTCGGCGGACCATGCCACCTGTCGAAACACTTGTGAAACACTTCGAAGCTTCATTTAGCCGTAGTCACGTGACATGGGTGTTTTGAATCACGCTTCGGATCAGTGTCTCGAAACATCTGCGCTTCGGGATCTCGAAAAGCTTCGGAACGCCCGTTTCGCGTCAGCCACCCCTAGTTATCATCCACTTTATATATTTCTATGTCATGCTTCAGTTATTTTTTTTTTCCTTCATTTCGTTACGGAGTTAATGGGAAGGCACATTCATGAATGTTCATTCATTCACAATGTCAGCTCTTTGAAATGGAATTAAAATTTTTTTTTTACATTACACATCAACAAGAAGTGTTTTTCTCAAGTAAAAGTGCTCAGACCCAAATAACAAAACCAACTCAAGGCAATGTCTGTCACAAATTACTTTTACTAATAGCCTCTGTTTAAATAATGATGATATATGCTATAATATGTACCAGCAATGGTCACACAATGCATACAAAATTGTTTTGCCATATTTATTGTCTTGAACCATGAGCTTTAATTAAATTAAATGAACATAAATGTAAGTCTGAAGTCCATAAATCCATGTTTGTATTAACACAAAAATTAAGATGTAACTGTCATTTATGCTACTTTTAGGACGCCTTTTCAGTGGAAGATGTTGAAATAAAGCTTTCACCATTTTATGCTGAAAAAAAAAAAAACATTTTCTTCACATAAACCTAAACAAGATGCTGTGCTTCAGGACATCAAGGAGTGATGACCCTAGCACAGAACCTGCTCGCAATATGAAATGGTATGCATTTAGGATAAAGATAAGGTAATTATTGTTAATGTTGCTTAGAAACATTTATTGGTCATCAAAGAAAATAAGGAATTATAAATGTAAATGGTTATATGGACCCATTTGTCAGAGCATGTATAGATCAATTAAATTAGCATTATTCTATATAAAGCGTATTCACTAATTAAATCTAATTAGAACATTTTACTACCCAATACTCAATATCACTTTTTTTCCTAAATATTCTCAACATCAATAACTTTAAGCTCTCTGAAATGAGTAGATCTAAACAAGCATATGCCTTTCAAATGCTGCAAATCACATGTTCAACATCCCCCTCATCAGACACTGCCAATTAATTTAGCAGAGTTTGAAAGTCTTGAATTGGGAATATCCAATGGGGGACCTATACAAAATATGCAATGCTGGAGCTCCCCAGGTTTAAAGTAATAATGTTTATATTCTGTTAACTAATAATATTTTTTGTCTCATTGTGTTTCTTGGACCACAAAAGGAGAGGTTTGTGGGTGTACGACGTGTAAGTGCAGTGGTGTATGCATTTCCAGTAAAGTTTGAGTGTGAAGCAATATTGATGTCTTCAATTCTTTATTGTGTGTCGTGACTTTCATTTGCAGTAGTTCAAGCAGACAATTGTAGGGTCTGGACCCATCAGACACACACTAATTATTCATTATACACAAAGGTTTATGAAACTCCAAAACTAACATCCCAAATGAAATGAACACCACGGCTGAAACAGTGTCATGTTACAGGGCTGATAAGGAGATTTTACGACCACATTCCTTTGGCCACATGCGCAAGAGAGAGACAATGGGAAGACAGAAACAATCTTTAATACAGACTTTGCTGCATTAATCATAGACTAACTGATCTATAAATAAACATGCATAAAAATGTGAAAGAAACAGTGTAAATGGTTTACTGTCTTGTGTACTATTATATATATATATATATATTATGGAATGTACCTTGGTATACAACCAACTAACGATCAATGTAACCTCACTTGTATCATGCCTCCTACCTAATTAATCCTCATTTAATGACTTACACTTTGATGTACATCACCTTCTTCTAGAATGCAGCGTGGATGTGTTATATCTATCTGAGCATTAATGAAGGTATAACCACGCTTGGGACAAAGACTCGTAAATTAACTAGAGCAACCTTCCCACTCAGACATTTCACCTTGCTTATTGGTCCAGTCAACCCTTAGGGGTTGGATCTCTCTCAGGCTTTATTAGAGACAGTCCACATGTGACCTCCCTCTCTTAGTTTTTCATCCAGCCGCAACACTGTTTCTGGTGATACTGGGGAACCCCCTCCCCAGCAGGCCCTGATCCAACTAGATATGGGCTCAGGCAGGAGAGAGAAGACTCTCTCACAAAGAACCAAGGACAATCGCAGGAGTTTTGGAACAACGACTCCAACCAACAACGACTCCAATCACCCACTCTTCCGACTTCCTCACTTCTCCTGGGTGCTCGGCGTGGCCTCAACAGGGCCCAGGGCCCCAGGCCTTGACCAAACCAGCCATCCACTCATGGAGAAAGATAACTTTCAAACAACTTCCACTTGCCACTGCTGGAACCCTCAACGACTTAAATTTTCCACAACTTCAAGAATTGTTCCCACTACAAATGCAAGTATTCAATTCAATGAAATGTGAAAATGAAATGCTGTTGGTTCTTCTCATAGTTAGATGGATCTTATCCATCGTTACATCATTCCATCTCTCACTCCTTTTTCCTACACATGTATTTATGTATGTATGTTTGTTTAGTTATTCATGTTTATGATTTAGTTAATAAAACTTGTGCACTATGTATTTGGTTCTGATTCACTGCTTGCAAACAAAGTCTCTTTTACGATCTTGATCTTGCTACTTGTTCAAAGCGCTGTACATGCTAAGAAATAATTATTCTTCTGTGGCCATGGAAGATACCCTTTTCTTAGAATAAATTAATAATCAAAAGAGTTCGTCGGACGAACTGATTAATTGATTGTAATATTAATTTAGCCATGTCAAGTTAATCCAATTAACTGACCCAAATATTCATAATTAATCATAAATCAAAGTTATTATTGATTATTAATATTTCCTATAGCTAAGTTCCTTACACAATCAACAATATCATCATTATATCTGCTGTGTTGTGTTTTAAGTGTCCTGACAACACTATTGGAAATTTTTGCTTTATGAAATCTACATCTGGCAAAAGTTTTAGTGACAATCCCTTGGGTTTTAACTTCTATTGCAGTTGATTTTAAGTGAGATTGGCATTTTACACTATTTCCTTAGCTGGACAGTGACATGTTACTAATGAGATGTTTTAACCAACATATGCAAGTGTTTCGTTATTTGTGCGCCAATTATTGCATAGTCTTGACTTTCTGAAGTTGTGGAGGCAAAAATTATTGCAGTGCCTTGTCATCTGTCAAACAATATGAGAAACCATATCACACAACAAGAGACGCTTGAGACATTTATCTTAACATCAGACAGTGGTATAATATGACCAAGTATAAGTTTTTTTGCAAAAATGCTTATAACTTTTGCAAATAGTTTAAAATTTGATTTCTTTATGTCATTATATTCCTTGGCTTATCGATCGATCGGTAGTCCAAAAAGAGCAAAAGTCGAGTTGCTCTCGAACACCCATTTTGCGGCTCTTTTAAACGGAAGTAAAAGTCATTCCTACAGCTGATTAGGCTGACGTCACCGGGGATTCCCTGGAGCCCCGCGACGGAACTCTCGCGTGAGTAAAACGGAAGCACAACCACAAGTCCGGGCAATCAACAGAGGAAGAATATTTATAAAATAGCAGCTGTCTAATAAGACTCCTTTAAGTACTTAACAGCAATATAAATATTCATTCCTTAGTTGATTGCCCGGACTTGTGGTTGTGCTCCCGTTTTACTCACGCGAGAGTTCCGTCGCGGGGCTCCAGGGAATCCCCGGTGACGTCAGCCTAAAGGAGCAGCTGGTGAAGGTTGGATCTATGGTGGAAAAGGACCACATGGGAGCCAAAGACTACTGGCAAAAAGTCGGCACTCAGAGCAGCAAAGAAAAGACCAACAAGAAATCTGCGGAACGTACCTTTAACAAAAACCTGGCTGGAGTAACACTAGCACAACCCCATCCAGTGTCATCTCTCCTGATGGTGCCTGTAAGGGTGAATGGCAAAGAAGTGAAGGCAGTGTTAGACACAGGTAGCACTTACACTTTAATGCAAGAAAGCCTGTGGAAACAGTTGAAAAGTGAGATTCCATCAGTCGTTACTTCCAGTCCACAGAGGTTCATAATGGCGGACGGCACGATTCACCAGTCCAGAGATCTGCAAAGGATTAGGATTCAATGGCACGACCAGGAATGCAGTTTGGATACTTATATCTTAAAAGACACTCACCTCGCATTTCCTCTTATTGCTGGTCTGGATTTCCTGAGGGACACGGGAGCAGTCCTGGAAGTGGGACGAGGCAGATATGGGTTAAGATCTGAAAAAGGAAACACCTATTACCCTTTCTTGCCATCGCAGATTCCTACAGGTTCAGCTACCCCGGCTGGTCAACATCGTTCTCATGTGGCTGCAAAGCTGAATTTATACTACGCATTACCATCCACTGGTAGACTTCCAGAACTCATGTCCGTTTTCCCCGAGATCACTAGGTGGGACTCTGATAATCAGGAGGAGTTGTCGAAGTTGATCTCCGCTTGGCCATGCACCACCTCCAACAACCTGGGTAAGACATCAATAGTACAACACAAAATCACATTATCTGATGACATACCCCTCAAATCCCGGGCCTACAAAGTTTCTCCTCTTAAGACACAGATCATTGAGGAGCAAGTAGATCAGATGGTGCGAGATAATATCATTGAACCTTCCTTCTCACCTTGGTCTTCACCTGTGGTCCTGGTCCCCAGACCTGATGGCTCATACAGGTTTTGTGTGGATTATAGGAGGCTTAACAGCAAGACAGTGCCCGACGCGTATCCAATGCCGTTGATTCACGACATCCTTGAATCCTCGGAAGGAGCCTCCTGGTTTGGCTCCTTGGATCTACGATCTGGGTACTGGCAGGTGGAGATGGACGAACAGAGTAAGGAAAAAACTGCTTTTATCTCCACCAAGGGGCTTTTTCAATTCAAGTCTATGCCGTATGGGCTCAGAAATGCTGCTGCTACCTTCCAGCATCTGATGGAGAGAGTTCTGTCGGATTTGCGGGGTAAAATTTGTTTCGTTTATATAGACGACATCATCATCTATTCAAAGTATTAGAACAACACAGTCAACATCTCAACATGGTTTTACATAGACTTACCCAAGCCAACTTGACGCTGAACATGAAGAAATGTCACTTCTTCAAGCCGCAGCTCAAATTCCTCGGCCATAAAGTCTCTGAGAAGGGAGTGGAGATTGACCGAGAAAAGACCAGTGCTGTTGCCGAGTTCCCTCCACCTCAAGACCTCAAAGCCTTGCAACGGTTTCTAGGCCTTGTAGGGTGGTATCATAAATTTATCGCACATTTCGCTGACATTTCTGCACCATTGAACAACCTGAAAAAGAAAGGAGTCAAGTGGGAGTGGACCACTGAATGTCAAGCAAGTATGGATGCACTTAAGCTGGCTCTACAAAACTCACCTGTGTTAATACAACCAGACACCTCCAAAGACTTCCAAATTCATACTGACGCCAGTGAGGTAGGACTGGGGGCCATCCTCACACAACAGGTGGAGGAGGGTGAAAAGGTGGTGGCATATGCTTCACGGACCTTAAATGGAGCTGAGAAAAATTACAGCACCTCGGAAAAAGAATGTCTGGCTGTAGTGTGGGCAGTCGAAAAGTGGAGACATTACCTAGAGGGAAGACCCTTTGACGTCTTTACTGACCATGCGGCTCTAGCATGGGCATTCAATTGTCCTAAAACCTCCTCACGCCTAACTCGCTCGACACTCCGCCTGCAACAGTTTGACTTCCAGGTCCATCACAGGAAAGGCTGCTTTAACATGGGACCTGATGCTTTGTCGCGGGTCCAGGAGATGCTGGTTGGTGATACAGCCCCTTGCTCATCCTCATTCTATTCCTCACTCCCTCCATCAAGATCTTTTAGGCTCAGTATGAACTTGGAAGCCTTGCAGCGGTTTCTAGGCCTGGCTGGGTGGTATCATAAATTTATCGCACACTTTGCTGACATTTCTGCTCCATTGAACAATCTGAAAAAGAAAGGAGTCAAGTGGGAGTGGACCCCAGAATGTCAAGCCAGTATGGATGCTCTTAAGCTAGCTTTACAAAACTCACCTGTGTTAATACAACCAGACACCTCCAAAGACTTCCAAGTTCATACTGACGCTAGTGAGGTAGGACTGGGGGCCATCCTCACACAACAGGTGGAAGAGGGTGAAAAGGTGGTGGCGTATGCTTCACGGACCTGAAATGGAGCTGAGAAAAATTACAGCACTTCAGAAAAAGAATGTCTGGCAGTGGTGTGGGCGGTCGAAAAGTAGAGACATTATCTAGAGGGAAGACCCTTCGACGTCTTCACTGACCATGCGGCTATCATGCTGCACTCTAACATCCCACCTCGATCAGTCAAAGCAGAATCCATAGCCTTTGAGAATCTCCAAGGTGTGTGGTACCGTAAGGTTCCTTTGAACTGGGGGTGGATCTAATGGGACCCTTCCCCGCCAGTAAACGACAGAACACGTACCTCCTTGTCATTGTTGATTATTTCACAAAGTGGGTGGAAATGTTCCCTCTAAGAGACAGCAAGACCCAGAAAGTAGTGAAAATCCTACGAGAGGAGATCTTTACACGGTGGGGGGTACCCAAATACCTGGTGTCCGATAGGGGTCCCCAGTTCACTTCCAGCCTGCTGAGCGATCTGTGCAAAACATGGGGTTGTGTTCAGAAACTCACCACGAGTTATCACCCACAGTCAAACCTAACAGACAGAATCAATCGTACAGTAAAAACCATGATTGCTGCATATGTGGGTCAACAACATCAAATGTGGGACGAGTGGTTACCAGAATTCCATTATGCCATTAACACCGCCCAGCAAGAAACCACCGGAAAGACACCTACTGAGCTCATGCTGGGTAGGCAAATTCTAGGACCACTGGAACGTCTTATCCACCGACCGCCTTCACCTGATCAAGCTGCATATTCCCTGGTAGAAAGACAAAACCCATCCTCTATCTAGTTCGTCAAACAAATTCTCTGCCAAGCTAGCGCCCAAGTGGGAGGGTCCAGCTGAAATCAAAGGTAAAACAGGGCCAATAAATTACACAGTGTGCTGGGGCAATCCACCAAGAACGGATATTTTAAATGTGGTCAACCTGAAGGGCTATTATGGACGCTCTTCCCCGATGCCGCTGGCTGGGGGGGGGGGGGGGGGTTATGTAGCCTGGCCACATAGGGAATAATAATTGTATGGCTGTTTAGTATAAATGTTATACTTTGTAAGACAGCTGCATGAATATGATTATTTTTACCGGGCTTTGTTGCCCGCAAGTCTTTGTGTTATTGTGTTTTGGTTTTACTATCGCGAGAGCTCGCGGAGCTCCAGGGAATCCCCGTGACGTCAGTTGCATCAGCTGGCTTAATGACTTTTACTTCCGGTTAAAAGAGCCGGAAGATGGGCGTTCGAGAGCAACGCAACAATTGCTCTTGTGGAAATAGCGATCGATCGCACGACTGGAGAGGCTTGTCATAGACTGAGTAGGAAGGACTCCTTGTGGAAATAGGATTATTCAATTGGATTATTTCGCCTTGGATCACTACACAGGTCAGCGCTGTTCCTCCTTTGGTCGGCTCACCGGTGAGGCCGATTCAACACCCACACACACACACATTGGACAGAAACACTCGTACTTACCGGACTCTACATATGTTAAATTTATTGTTGGTGTTGGTTATTTAATACATTTTGTGGTTATCCATCCGTCTTGTTGTTTATTTTTGTATTCAATGTGAACAAGTTTATTTTTCACTTAGATAAGTTTATTTTTCACTTAGATAAAGGGGTTTTTTTCTCCCCCGAATTATATTTAGAGGTGTAACCTGCTTCAAGGGAGGCTGAGCGTTACAAACCAGATGCCATTCTTTCTAATGCGGCTCTTCAGCTATCAGGATAACCATAAGCTACATTAGCATTAAGCTAGCTTAGCATGCTAATCTCGTTAACATGATTTTGTGTGCTTATTCTTACACTGAAGCCTCTCCTCTGCAGCTTTGTAATTTATGTCCTCTGAGTGGCGCATTTTGCTAAACCACGTGTCACGAATCCCGAACCATTCCGGTAGTGGGTTCGAATCCTGTGTGGCACATGCCCAGACCGCAAGAGGTACTGTGGCCTTAAGTGGTGGAAAAAAAATTTCAGTTCCAGACATGGGGTGCATCCTCGTTTCCTTTCCTCGCATCTCAGCTCCACCCCCTGCAGGATGCGAGGGAAGGCTGCATGGAAAGAAAATGAGGACGGAGGAATCGAATGAAAGTTTTTTTTATACTTTGGAATACTTGACCACTCGAGCGTCACTTCACTGCGTCAACAGCAGCGCTCAAAGGATCTGCCCTTAAGTTGTTGAAGTTTGGTTATTTAAGAAATTAGTAATAAATAATAATAAAGCAAGATACCCTGTTGAAATATGTGAGATGTGTGGTTTATATAAACTGCAAAGGTCAAGTATAAATTAAAATGATTGTGGCTGATGTGAAGGGGGAGGAGAATGTATACGTGCGTCACATTTAGTCGATAAAACACTTCTGCAAAGCATGCAACTGTGCATCCTCGCTCATAGCTCCTCTGGAAGCCTCCTCGATCCTCGCCTCCTCGCGGTGCAATTAGAGAATTGAGATGTCGCTTCAAGATGGCTGAGCTCGATCGGTTTCCGGGTCATAGGATGGAGGACGGAGAATCGAGGAGACGAGGAGGGATATTGAGAAGCACCCATGGTGTCTATCTGAGAAAGGAATTCCATAAATATACCATGCAGCAAATTTATATAAAAAAATCTTAATTTTGAGATCATTTTCACTTGTACTAATGAAACAGCTGTTTTTTTTCAAATTTGGCACACTTGTAGTGATTGTAATGAATATTAATTGGACAAATTTTTGAGTCTCTTAAACCAACTCCTCCAAATTTTGTCCAAACATTTGCTCAAATGATCTATGGACTGAGATGCACAGAAATAACTGAACAGAATTTCATGCCATACTGGTAAAAAAAAAAAGTTATGATGTTGCAAACTTAACGAGGTCGACCCAAAATTGGTTCAGAGGCTGTATCTCGGCCAGACTTTGATCAACCGAAACGAAAATTGGTACGCTTCATCGGAAGCATGGTCTGAGGGTCCATGCCAAAGTTGGGAACAGCGCCACCTATGGGTCATGAGATATGAAAAATAGATATTTTGGCCAATAACTTTTTTTTGTTTTTTTTACTTTTTTTGAGTAAATTGTACATTTTTTAACACCAGGTGACAAATATACAGTTAACAATAAACATTACAAAGTGGGACCGAAATGACACCTGTACC